GTATCTTGAGCGGTTCATTCAGACAGCAGGGACCTGTGTACCGTGTCCTGTGTACGGACTCCTCTACCTTCTTCCCCCGAATACACCGTACGGTACGGTCACTATAGCTGTATTTTTTTTTTTGGGGGGGGGGATATCTTTCAGTCTAAATACAGCTATTCTTAAAGCTGTATTTGGGTTATCTTTCAGTCTAAATACACTTTCCTATTCTGTATCTTGAGCGGTTCATTCAGACAGCAGGGACCTGTGTACGGACTCCTTCCGCCAATAAGTGAAAGTGAAGCTGTCCTCACGAATACTTTTTGCTAACGCTTTTTTTTTCTCGACGAAGGATCCACGCTTTTCTTCTTCTCTGTCTCTTTTCCCTTTAAACACAGCAAGATTATATTAAGATAAATTATATTAACATGCATGTGACGAGTCCGGGCACCTCACAGTGCAACCCGGGTAACTTTCTTGCCTTTCGTTTACCTTTCTGCAAGTTTCTTGTTTATTATTTACTTTATTATATCTTTTTCTTTTTCTGTGCCGTTTGGAGTCTGGAGGCTCGTGTTTCAGCCATAGCGAACAAGAGTACTCTGTTTCTCTTCCTTGATGGAAATGCGAAATACAAAAACCACAAACACTCTCTTCTCTTCTCTTCTCTTCTCATTCCGGGATCTCCCAACGAGAACGATTCTTACTTTCCTGCTCATTAGATTGCTTGATTTATAAAATAATAATTAAAAAAAAGGATTGCTTAATAGCGCTTTAATTTCTTTGGTGGCATTTCCATACAGCTCAAAACATCCGAGATCTCATTGTCGTGATGCATACCTTCTCAAGAGGAATAGGATCAAAGGGGGGAAGGGGGGGGGGGAGGAAAGGGGGAGAGAAGGGACAATTGTGGTGAAAGGATGGCATTAGTTATCGAGATGAACTTTGGCAGCGATACACGAAAGAGGGTACTACGCAACATTCATACTGCATGGAGAAGCACATACATCGAAGCCATTTTGTGGATGGATCCTCCGCCGGCCATGGGCTTGACCCCCCCCCCCTGGGGCTGCGGACGGACATCAAGGGGTGTTCGGAAACAATCGAGATAAAAAAAAAGAGAGAGAGAGAGAGACGCAATCGTACAGGTGATGTGGTTCGCAACTGACTGACTGAATGAAAGGTATGTTTTTGACCCGGGCCGGCATTTGCCCGGGGCCCGGGGCCAAGTCCCACTAGCAGCGTTAAGCTACCTCAACGGCTGAATCTGGAGGTGTTAGTAGAGACGTGCAGTTCAGGAAACTCAACACCATTTCTGCACATCTCGGCAAAAGCGTCCAGATTCAGGTGTGGAGGTAGCTCAGCGCTGCTAGGTAGTAGTGGGACTTGCCCCCCGGGGTGCCAACACACAGCGAGGAGGAGGAAGGAAGATAGCCCGATCGCTTGGATGAGCGAAAGAATGGCAAGGGCAGGGGGGAGAACGACGACGAGGGGAAGTTCTTTGCGAATGTCATCGAGTGTTTTGATCAGCATTTCGTGGCGTGGATAGGCTCTTACCTTCTTCGCGTACACCTGGAGAGTGCTGATGCGAGAGGACGGGGCAGAGAGACCAGCGCGCGACACGTTGCAAGCATCGCGGAGGAGAGAGAGCGATGGAGAGCGGCTCTCGAGAGAGGACAGGCCGAAGGGAAGAGCGCTCCCCGTGCGCCTAGCAGCTGCGGAGGATGTCGTCGCCGCCATGTGCGACACGGCAGCCAAGCCGCACACGCTGCCGGACGATGCCGCCCGAAGCATGATCGCCATTTGCTGAGCCATCTCTTCCGCTCGCGGAGCTCGGAGCGAGTGCGCGCGCACACTGGGCGGCGGGGGGAGTGCCTGCCGCCGGAAGCGCCCGGAACTGCTACCCGACGATCGAACGACGGAGATGAAGAAGAAGAAGAAGAAGAAGAAGAAGAAGCTATGGCCGCAGGAAGGAGCGAGCAAGATACCAGCAGCGTGCGGGCAAGCAATCAAGCTGCTGGGCGTTGGAAGACGTGAGCTCAACTATCTCCGCCTCGAGGGGTTACGCACAATGTTCATATTCTGTCTCTCATGCGATGCAGGAACAGCAGCATTCTTGGGACCACACTGACGGTGAGGGTTGGCCGGGCCGACCCGCACCCAGTACCTACGTAGCCAGCCAATGACTGGCGGATCGGTCGTCGAGAGGCGAGGAGGGAAAAGCGAAAAAAAAAAAAAAGCCAGAGGTGGGAGAGGGTCGTATGAGCGAGAGGAGGGGGAGGAGGAGAATCGGTGATTCGCTTTCTTTGTCTTTTTGTTTTTTAATGATTCGCTTGCTGGATGGATAATCAGCAAGTGGAGAGGAGAAGAAGCAAGTTGTGGCTGCAAAAAAGGGAAATAGTGTTCGCAGCATTTCGCAGAGAGATGAGGAGAAGGAGAGAAGGAGCAGAGAACTAGAGAGAGAAGGTTCCAACCAAAGTAATAAACTCTTGAGAGATTCGAGGGCAAGCGGGTGGCGTCCCACTTGCACGGGTTGAGAAGAAGATATAGGCCGTCCGTCGATCGTGAAGATCGACGGCCCAGATCTGTCAATCCACCGCCTCGCAAGATGTATCTATTCCCGCCTCCTCCTCTCCCTATGTTGCTGTCCCCGCTTGCCTGGATTTCTTCTTCGCTCCTGACCATAGACTGATGAGAGGAGTGAGTGAGGGCATATTCCCAAAAAAAAAAAAAAAAAAAGTGAGGGCATACTCGCACTAGGACCTGTTCCCTCATTTCTGGAAGTGATGGCGGTAAGATGCACGCAAGTAGGCCTGGGTTGAAATTACGGTCAGAAACATTTAACAATGTGGTACTAGTAGTTGGGGGGGGGTATGCTCTGAGAGGGAATTAGCGCTACGATGCACGCAAGCAGGGCTGAAATTACGGTCAGAAACGTTTAGCAATGTGCTCCTAGAAGTGTTGGGGGGGGGGAGATG